CGTCGGTTGTGTGGCTTCGCGGCGCTCGCAGGATTCCTCTGGGAGTGCGCGGAGGCACGCGTAAAAAATTGCAGAATCCCGGCGACTTGCCCCGTCGCGGGTGGGGATTCAGACGGTTGTTGCGCGCTGCCGCTTCTGGCTGCTGCAGGCGTCGAGGTGGCCGGGGACCCGCTGCGGTGCTCACCCGACACTTCTCTCGTGCAGGCGGAAGCACGGGCCGTTTTGCCTGCCTTGCTGGCATTCGCCGAGGGTTTGCCCCAACGCATGGGTGCCTGCACGTATGCTGCCCCTTTGCAGGGTGACGCCTTTGAAGAGGCGAGCAGCGCGCCCTGGCGCGGCAATTGGAAGTTGTATTTTGTGTCCACTTCATCGGCGCGCCTTGAGCACACGTGCGGTCACAGGGCATCTCCGCGCGGATGGCGCGTCGCGTGGCCCTAACGACGGCCACTTTGTGCGCTCACGGCGGGAGCCCACTTGTCGTGGGCTGGTCTGTGGACCAATTGGTGTGTTTCTTGCCGTGCGTGGGTGCGTGATAAACCTTTTCTTACGTGTGAAGTTGCGTGAGCTGAGGCAGAGGGCGAACTTCCGTTGTTGCCTTTCCTTCGCCTTACGACAGGAGGAAGGGGCGCGGCCTCCCCCAGGGGGTGTATTTTTGTTGCTTCTTTCCTTGGGGGGAGGCAAAGACGACGGTGGCACGGGGAGCGTCGTGCGTCGTATTTCTACGTGGCTCTTGCCGCGGCCCCACTTCCACGCCCACGTTGATTCTGCCCCCGCCCCATTTTGCCTTACTTTCCCAATCGACCTATCTTTTTTTTTGTTTTTGCGGGGGGGGGGGTTCCCACAGAAAGCACAAATCGCGCGCAGCAATGATACCCCTTTTCGTGAAGAAACAGGAAGAGGGGGTGCATGTGAAGTACCGCGTCCGCAACGCCTTCAGTTTGTGGTGGCTGGGCATGATCAACAACTTCCACTACACGCTGGTGCTTGCTGGCTCCAACGACATTGCCATAGGCTACGGCATGAAGAAGTACGTGGCGCTAATCACGTGGGCGAATGTGTTCTTTGGGATCATCGCAAATGTTATAAACGCCTTTGTGCTGCAGCTGCTCTCGTACAACATCCGCGTGACGGTGACGTCAGTGATGGCGATTGTGGCCATTCTGCTGGTGAGCTTCGCCTGGGACATCGGTGGGCACAACAACGTTGCCGCCTTTATTACGATGCTGGTTGGCGTCATCTTCATTGGGATGTCATGCAACTACGGCAGCAGTGTGTTCTTGGGCTACATGGAGCGCATGCCGCCTTGGCAGATCAGCTCGTGGTCGTCCGGAACGGGATTGTCGGGTGTTGCCGCCTCGCTCATATTTCTTGGCTTGACCTCCGCTAGCATGACTAACGCACAGATCTTCTTGCTTAGCATCGTTTTTGTCATTGTCTACTGGCTCATGTATTTCTTCGGTCTCAAGTTGCCCTTTTGTGTGCCGG